GAGGGAGGAGGGAGAAGGGAGGAGGAACGAGGGAGGAGTGAGGAGTGAGGGCGGAGGGCGGAGGAGGGAGGAGGGAGGAGGGAGGAGAGAGGTGGGAGGTGGGAGGAGGGAGGGGGGAGGAGGAGGAGTGAGGAGGGAGGAGGGAGGAGGGCGGAGGGCGGAGGAGGGAGGATGGATGAGGGAAGGAGGGAGGGATGGATGGAGGGAGGGAGGGATTGACGAGGACGAGGACGAGGACGAGGACGATGATGATGATACTGATGATGATGATGATGATGATGATGATGATGATGATGATGATGATGATGATGATGGTGATGATGATGATGATGATGATGATGATACTGATGATGATACTGATGATGATGATGATGATGATGATGATGCTGATGATGATGATGATGCTGATGATGATGATGATGATGATGATGATTTGATGATGTGATGATGATGATGATGATTAATGATGATGGCTGATGATGATGGACGATTATGATGAATGATGATTATGATGATGATGATGATGATGATGATGATGATGATGGTGGTTGGTGGTGATGTTGATGATGGTGATGATGTGGATCTGGTGCTGATGTGATGCTGATGATGCTGCTGCTGCTGATGTGATGATGCTGATGATGCTGATGATGGATGAGGTTGATGTATGTGGATGGCTGGCTGCTGAAGTTGCTGCTGATGATGATGCTGATGATGATGATGCTGTGATGATGATGATGATTGATGATGATTGAGGAGGAGGTGGAGGAGGAGGAGGAGGAGGAATAGGAGGCGGAAGAGGAGGAGGAGGATGTGCAGGAGGAGGAGGACGAGGACGAGGACGAGGAGGAGGAGGAGGATGAGACCAGGAGAAGGATGATGATGATGATGATGATGACTGATGATGATGATGATGTTGATGAGGATGTGTAGATGATGATGATGATTAGGAGGAGGAGGAGGAGGTGGAGGAGGATGAGGAGCAGGAGGAGGAGGAGGAAGAGGAGGAGGATGTGGATGTGGATGATGATGATGATGCTGATGATGATGATGATGGTGATGATGATGATGATGATGATGATGATGATGATGATGATGATGATGATGATGACGATGAGGATGAGGATGAGGATGAGGATGAGGATGAGGATGAGGATGAGGATGAGCATGAGGATGAGGATGAGGATGAGGATGAGGATGAGGATGAGGAGGAAGAGGAGGAGGAGGAGGAGGAGGAGGAGGAGGAGGAGGAGCACTCTGGAGCAGCTGCGGGGCCCGATGCATCCTTTTCACACTTGCTGGCCCTCGTGGGTCCCCGAGTTGTCCGTTCCGATTTCTCCGCCCGCATCGTTCCCTCTTCTCAGAGCTCCGCCAGCACCGCCACCGACTCCAGGGCTTGTTTCGATTGCCCCGATTCGATTCGATTGCGATGCCTCCCGATGCCGATTCGACTCGGCTTGGGATGCCGTTTCGAGTTCCGATTTCTCAATGGAGGCCTACTGGCCTGCCAATTGACGCCGATGATGATTTCTGCCGATCCGATTCACTTCGATCGCCGATCCGATGTATCGATTCGATTCCGGGCTCTCTTGCCGACCTGCCACCGCCCCTGGCTCATCTTCTTGTTTGCCCTCGTCGGCCTCCCCAGGCCTCGGGAGACCAAGTGCACGCCAGTCGCTGCAGGGAGGTGTTCTTGGACCTCTCGATCCCAACTGAGTTCAAGCGCCCTCCTGCTTCAAGGGCCGATCTGTTTCTGATGTCTTCTGCTTCTCCCTGGGCCTGCCCAAACCCAGTCAGAGTCATCCGCCCTCCTGCTTCTGGTCTCCACCTGCTTCTTCGGCTGGCGGGCAACACATGGAGCCCGCAGAGCGGGAGCCACGGCAGGCCCTCGTGGGGGGGGAACTTGGCACGCAGGAGTGAGGAGGACGGCCGGTGCCTCGACGCGGTCCCTCTCTCGGGCGCGCTCGCCTGCGGGGCGCACATGTTGCGGCCCAGACCTGCGTGTGGCGTAGGTTTTTGGGCATTCTCGGGGGCCTCTTGTGTTTTTTTTTTCGGGGGGGCCTCTTTTGGGCGTCCTGGGGCCTCTGTCTGGAGCCTGTTGGGGCGGTATTTCGGCGGCGATCGAGGGGGGGAAGTGAGAAGGAGAAGGCCCTCTCAGGAGGCGGCGGGGCCTCTCAGCAGCCATAGCGCCGTCTGAAGAAGGCCTGGGGACTTCCGAGCCTTTGAGAAGGGGCCCATACCTTCTCACTTCCCCCCTTCGCTCGCCGTCGATCTCGAGCGTCCTGGGGCCCCTTTGGGGCCCTCTTGGGACCCCCTTGGGACGCTTTTTGGAGGCTGTTTGGGTCTTCGGGCCTCGGTTGGAGCCTCTCTGAGCCCCTCTTGGAGCTATCTTGGGCGATTTGGGAGCCATCTGGAGGCCTGAGCCCGTAGGAAGCGAAAAGGCGAGAACGCAAGCAACGTTGAGCATCGCTTCTGTTTGAAGGGTCCTGGTCCACTGGGGGTCTCCTCTTGAAGCTCCATGGCCGCTTTGACCCGTCTTGCGACGGGCTTAGGGCCTCTAGGAGCATGTTGGAGGCTTTCTGGGTCCAACTGTGGCTACAGTCAACGCGTCTAGTAAGGACGCGCGCCTTCATCTAGATCACCCTTGTGTCCCTGCCTCTGCGGCCCGCCCTTTGTCTCTTTCACTGGTCGCCAGCCGCCCCACAGATCGCAACTTCAGCCTCCAAGGCCCTTGCGTTCTTATCGCCAGGTAATACTGCAGACTTCGTCTGTATCGTGTGCTATCTTGGAGACATCGTGGAGGAGGAGGAGGAGGAGGAGGAGGAGGAGGAGGAGGAGGAGGAGGAGGAGGAGGAGGAGGAGGAGGAGGAAGAGAAGGAGGAGGAGGAGGAGGAGGAGGGGGAGGAGGAGGAGGATGAAGGGGAGGAAAGAGAAGGAGGAGGAAGGAGGAGGAGGTGGTGGTTTCAGTTTCTGGGAACCACGGGAGCGCAAGGGGGGAAACCAGCGACGGCGCCGTCTTGCAGCCCGCTTGGGCCATCCTGCACGCCCTCAACGCCACGCGCGAGAGGACCGCCCCGACCCCGGCGAGGCCCTCCCCCGCCTCCCGGTCCTCCTGCCCTTTCCCAGTCCCCCCTCCTGCTGTTCCTCCTTCCCCTCGTCCTGCCCCTCCTGAAATCTTCGCGCATTGTCTTTCCCTGCCTCCTCGTCCTCTGTCCCCCCCCCGCTTTTCGCCTTCACCTCTTGTTTCCCTCTGTTTCTCCTTCTGCGCATGCCTCCCTCCTGTCACCTCGTTATCCTCACCATCCCCCCCTTCTCCTTCTCCTCGTCCTCCTCCTTCCCCCTTCTACTCCCCTTCTCCTTCTCCTCATCCTTCACCTCATCCTTCTCCTCATCCTTCTCCTTCTCCTTCTCCTCATCCTTCTCCTTCTCCTCATCCTTCTCCTTCTCCTCCGCCTCCTGCCCCGCATCTTGATCCTCTTTCGCCCTCCCTCCTCGGCCTCCTTCCCCCGTGCCTGCCCACACCCCAGCTCTCCGCCATGCCCCTCCTGATTCGTCGCGGCGTTCACGCCCCCACCCCACGCCCACCCACGGACAGCGCCCTCTCCGCGCGGCTGGACGCAGCCGCCGAAAACCTGATCGGATCGGTGCTCGGGGCAGGTCTGGGGGTCTGGTGACCTGTTGGGCAGGAGGAGGAGGGGGATGATGAGGAGGATGATGATGATGAGGAGGAGGCGGAGGAGCAGGAGGAGGAGGAGGAATAACACTGATAAAAATACTAATAATTATGTGACGAGTCATATTACGAATAACAATGCGAATACTAATACGAATAGTAATTATAGGAGGAATACTTCTACGACTACTAATGCTAATTAGCATATTGATATGAGTACCAAGAATAACAGTAGTCACACTAGTCAGACAAAAAATAACTACCAGTAATAATAGACTACGGATAATAATACCAATAATAATAAGAGGAGGAGGAGGAGGAGGAGGAGGAGGAGGAGGAGGAGGAGGAGGAGGAGGAGGAGGAGGACGAGGAGGAGGAGGAGGAGGAGGAGGAGGAGGAGGAGGAGGAGGAGGAGGGTGAGGTGGTTTCCCTCAAGCGCATCCCCTGTTAGACGTCGCAACTCCAGAGCCACTGGCTCGGGCCGCCTCGGCTTCGGCCTCCAGGCGGGGCGCGGCGCGCCGCGTGACCGAGGCGGGGAACGCGCCCTCGCCGGGACCCCGCGCCCATGGCGCCGCCCCCGGCCGCCCAGCCCGAGGCTGACTTCACCGCCGCCGCCGCCGCCGCCGCCGCCGGCGGCGGCGTCGTCGTCGTCGTCGTCGTCGTCGTCGTCGTCGTCGTCGTCGTCGTCATCGCCCGAGGCGGACTTCGCGGTGCTGGAATTCGCCTATCGGGACCTCGGGGGCGACTCTGTGCTCCACAGGCGTTCCCAGGAGGAGCTGACCTGGAGGCCTGGGGGGGGCGCCAGTTAGATACCAAAGCTGATCCGAGCTGGGCCACTCCTGGGCCGGGGACTGGTGGTGACGCGCGAGTCCCTTCTTGGCCGAGCCAGGATTATGGGCCCAGGATCGGCCGGGCCAGCATCGGCGTGGGTGGATAGTTGCCCCCCTCATATGGAGGGTGCGGGTCGGGAGAGCCACGAGCGCGAGCTCGAGGGTCATGAACATCCGGGTCTGTATCGATTCCTCGTCGAGGGGATCTGCGGAGCCGCTGGTGAGCGTTGCCGTCGACAACGAGCAGGTCTTCCCCGGGGTCCCCTTCGTCGAGAAGGCCCACCTGGAGCTGGACTTCCACTGGGAGCTCGCCTTCGACGGCGAGGTGGAGGGCCTCCACCGCCCCGGCTTCCACGAGATGCGGCCCGCGCACGGGGACCTCCTGCGCTGGCACAGCTGCGCCGTCCTGGGCCGCAGCGAGGAGGACGGCTCCCTCACGGTGCTCGCCACCATGCCCGACGGCGAGCGCGTGGTGTACCCCCGCGTGGAGCCCGGCCACGTCCGCCGGGCGGGCAGCCGGGGCCCGGTCGCGGCGCCCGCGCGCACGCTGTCGCTCTGCGTCCCGCAGAGCCGGCCCCAGGCCGCGGCGCTGCGCCTGGACGGGCGGCCCGTGACGCACTGCTTCTGCAGGCCCACGCCGCCGCCGGCGAGGCCCAGCGGCGGCGCCGCCCAGGCGGAGGGGGCGGGCCCGGCGGTCTTCGGGGATGCCCAGACGGTGTGGCGACCGCGCCGCGTGGTGAGTCAGCGGGGAGTCGGGGTGGCCGCGCGGTGTTGGGACTCGGCTCAGGGCCTTTCCAGGTCGCCGCGGGCGGCGGCAGCGGCTGGCTCCTCGGGGGCCCCCCAGACGGTGCGGTGACCACGCCGCGTGGTGAGTCAGTGGGGGTTCGGGGCCATCGCACGGTTGTGGGACTCGAGGTCGTTCTCCGAGGGTGTCTCGGGCGGCCAGGGCCTCCAGGGTCCCAAGACCGTGCGGTGACGGGCCGTGCGGTGAGGTGCTCTGGGGTTCCGAGGTCACAGCCGCGGTCTGTCTCCATTCGGTCTTGGGGCCCCCAAGGTCTCCTTCTCGGTGTCCAGGGACCGCAGGACGGTGCGCTGCGACCGCGGCGACGCCGCGCTCCGGAGCTTCCTGGGGCACGAGCTGGCGGCCGTGCCCAGCGGCAGCTTCGCCCACGAGGCGGGGTCGGAGGCCCTCGGAGGCTTCGGTGGCTTGCCAGAGTTCAAGGCGTGGGGCGCTAGGGCGAGCAAGCGGTGGGAGTTCCAGCTGGGGCCCTTCGCGGTCCATGTGGTCGAGCTGCACAGGAAGCACGCCAAGACGCACGTTCTCGTCGTCGACGACGACGTCTTGGTCGAGGCCAAGCCGGAGGACATGCATTCCCCACAGGATGGCTTCTGGACATGCAGATCCAGCTGCCTGCGGCAAGTCCCGCCGAGGCGCCAGCCCAGGTGATGATGATGATAATGATGATGATGATGATGATGATGATGATGATGATGATGATGATGATGATGATGATGGTGATGGTGATGGTGATGGTGATGGTGATGGTGATGGTGATGGTGATGGTGATGGTGGTGATGATGATGACGACGGTGATGTTGCTCCTGCTGCTGCTGATGGTGATGATGATGATGAGGAGGATGTGGCTGCTGGTGCTGCTGATCTGCTGCTGCTGCCGCCGACGACGACGAGGCAGAGGAGGAGGAGGAGGAGGAGGAGGAGGAGGAGAGGGATTCTGATGATGATGATGTTGATGCTGCTGATGATGATGGTGATGGTGATGCTGATGATACTGATGATCAGGATGATGATGCGGAGGAGGAGGAGGAGGATGGATAATATGATGCTGTTGATGATGGTGGTGATGATGCTGCTGCTGATGATGATACTGCTGGTGATGATGATGTTGTTGTTGTTGTTGTTGTAGTTGGTGTTGGTATTGTTGTTGATGCTGCTGTTGCTGTTGCTGTTGTTACTGATGTTGCTGTCGTCGTCGTCGTTGTTGTTGCAGTTGTTGTTGTTGTTGTTGTTGTTGTTGTTGTTGTTGTTGTTGTTGTCGTTGCCGTTGTCGTTGTTGTTGTTGAACATTATTTATTCTAAAGAATAATTATTGTTGGGCCCCCTGGTGCGCGCCCCCCCTGCGCCGCCTAGGCCGCAGCTACATTTTCATCATTTTCGTGAGGAAGCCTCAGAAAAGAGGGTGTGTACAGGATCCGGTTGTTTTGTTGTAATCCGCTTTCCCTTGCAAAAAACAATAGAAAATGACATTTCTTGTTCTAATATAATCAAATTTCAAGAATCCCTTGCAAAAAATAAGGTAAAGTGGACATTCGCGCGCGCAAGACGAAATCCTTCCAAAACCTTAGTGTTCGCAACGATTTTAACATAAAAACATCAAAAAACCAATGGTTTTTCAACAAAAAATGTCAAAATCTCATCCCGCGCGCTCTTGCGGATTCGTAGGAAACCCAACACTTTTTAAACATTTCTGTCAAACGGGCTTTTGCGAGCAACTTTTTCGAACTTCTGCGACAACGGTTGCGCACCTGCCAGGGCCATCATCCCTGTCAAATAATACCATGCGGGACACATTCGTTTTTTCTTCGCGCGCGCACGCCGAAATCTCCAAAAACCATTGGGTTTCTTAAGAATTTTAGCACCGCGCATCATAAAATCACACGAATCGCACCGTAGGTCCTCGAAAAACACCTGCACGACTTTTCAAAATTTCTACCCGCGCGCGCTGTCCGAATCCTAAAAAACCCGCTGGCCCTGAATAGTAGCCAAGGTCGTCCGCATGCCACGAAGTGAAGTGTCCGAACGTCATAGGGCGGGAAGCTGGGTGTGGGTGGTCGCGAAGAGTCGTTTGGAAGTTTGGTAGAGCTTGAACCGGCCCCCCCACAAAGTGGGGGTATTGGCCGGCGTCCCATGAAAACCCTGGCACTGGTGAGAACGGTGTGTCCCCACGTGCTAGTAATTGTTGTTGTTGTTGTTGTTGTTGTTGTTGTTGTTGTTGTTGTTGTTGTTGTTGTTTGTTGTTGTTGTTGTTGAACTCTCATTCTTGAAGAATAATTATTGTTGATCCCCCCCACCGGTGCACATTGTTTTTTTCGATTGAAGTGCCACCCCCGGGGCTCGCACCTTGTTTTTTCTCAAGGAAAGTCTTCCTGCTCAAACTGTGCCCCTGCCCCCCGGGCTACAACAACAACGGCTCCCGCCTGAGACTTCCTCGATTTTTACTCAGGACCCCCGCTCCCGCCTGAGACTTCCGCGCAATTTGCTCAGGAAAGGCGCTCCCGTCTGAGACTTCCTCGCAATGTAATCAAGACCCCCGCTCCCGCCTGAGACTTCCGTGCAATTTACGTGGGAACGGCGCTCCCGCCTGAGACTTCTTCGAATTTTACTCAGGACCCCCGCTCCTGCTTGACATTTCCGCGCAATTGACTCAGGAACGGCGCTCCCGCCTGAGACTTCCTCGCAATTTAGTGAGGACCCCCGCTCCCGCCTGAGACTTCCGTGCAATTTGCTCAGGAACGGCGCTCCCGCTTGAGACTTCCTCGCAACTTAGTCAGGGCCCCCGCTCCCGCCCGAGATTTCCTCACAATGTACTCAGGACTGCGCTCTCGCGTGCGACGTCCTCACAAATTATTCTGGAATTGCGTTTCGGCGCTCAGGAACCACGCGCGCGCCAAGGACGCCTTCACAACGTGGTATCTTCCCTCTTCCTTCGTCCTTCCCCCTCCCCTTCCTCCCACTCTCCCTCGTTCTTCCCCTCCTCCTCTTGCAGGGCCCGCGCCAATTCCAATGGCGGGCAGAGAGATGTACGCCCCCGAAGGATTGTCCGCCCGTTCCGGTTTGCCCGTACGTCTAAGCCCGCCGGCCCCAGCAAAGAGAAATAATCCCCCCGAAAGGGGTGTGATCGAAGACGAAGAGGGCGGGTTTCGAGGGTGTAGGGTATACGTGTTGAATGACTCGCGGGCAAGTAAGAGCGTACAGCCTTAAAATGGTTAACTGTTGTTGTTGTTGTTGTTGTTGTTGTTGTTGTTGTTGTTGTTGTTATCGTTCTTGTTGCTGTTGTTGTTGTTGTTGTCATGGCTGTTCGTGTTGTTGGTTGGTTGGTGTTTTTGTTGGTTGGTTGTTGCTGTCGTTGTTGTTGTGATTGTTGTTGTTGTTGTTGCTGCTGCTGCTGTTGTTATTGTGTTTGTTCATGTGATTGTTGTTGTTGATGCTGCTCATGGTGCTGGTGGTGATGATGCTGATGGTGATGATGATCAGCAATCCTGATGAGGCTGTTGCTGCTACTGCTGCTGCTGATGATGTTGATCAGAAGGAGGAGGGGGAGGAGGAGGAGGAGGAGGAGGAGGAGAAGGAGTAGCAGCAGGATGATGATGATGATGCTCATGATGATGATGATGATGATGATGATGATGATGATGATGATGATGATGATGATGATGCTGACGACGACGACGACGATGATGATGATGATGATGATGCTGCTGCTGATGATGGTGATGGTGATGCTGATGATACTGATGATACTGATGATGACGATGACGATGATGATGATGATGATGATGATGATGATGATGATGATGCTGATGATGATGATGATGATGATGATGATGATGATGATGTTGATGATGATGATGATGATGATGATGATGATGATGATGATGATGATGATGATCAGGAGGAGGAGGAGGAGGAGGAGGAGGAGGAGGAGGAGGAGGTGGAAGAGCACAAGGTGGAAGAGGACGGCCGTCATACGTGACACCTGTCGTTTTCACATCGCCAGAAGCCCTCAGGGATATCATCTTGGCAGTGTTTAGGCTGTCTTGGCCTCCTGTGGGCGGTCTTAGGGGTCCCTTGGGCTGCCTTGGAGCCCTCTTGGGCCGAATCGGGCCTCTCCTTAAGCCGTATTGGGGCTCTCTTTTGCCGTCTTCGGGACTTCTTGGCCGTATGGGGGGTCCGGGGGGCCGTCTCGGTACCGTCTTCTAAGGCCGTCGTGGGTTCTTCGGATGCCCTCTTGGGCCGTCTTGGGGTCGTCTTGAAAGTTTCTTGGGCCATCGTGTGATCCTCTTGGGCCATCTTGGGAACCTCTTAGGGACATATTGAGCCGTTGGGCCATCTTGGAGGCTTTTGAGCTGACGGAAACTTGAAAAGGTGAGAATGCGAAAACCCTGCAGAAACTTTACACGGCAATCAATGTTTTTGACTTGTTCGGACCCTTTTCGGGGTCCTCCTGTGGCCCTCTTGGCCCCTCGTGGAGCCGCCTTGGGCCGGCTTGGGGCTATCTGGTCCGTCTTCGAGGCATCTTGGGCCATTTTGGCGGCCTTGATTGCCTGCGTGGGCTATCTTGGAAGCTCGGGTCGCGGACCCATGCGTTTTTGCGAGGGATCGTGGCCTCGGGAGCGCGGATATCCATTGTTATTGATTTATTGATGTGGGATCGTGGTCCCAGGAAGAGAGGGGGGAATGCACGCAGCTGGATGCGGTGAGTGGAGGGGGGTCGCCCTCAGAAGACTACAGAGATCCTGCCAGAGAGCACTTGGCATTCTACCATGCCTCGACGTGCCAAGAGGCCACGGTGGCGGGTTCTGGCTGCAGGGCCATAAGTCCATAGAGTGGGAGGTCTTCGAGAGCGACCGCTTCTTTTCCCCGCTGGACTCCAGGAGCGTCGTGGCGGAGAGGCTGCCCTACGCCAGCGAGTGCCTCGTCCACGCCGATCTCTCCAGTCGGGGGTTGCCAAAGGTGCCCCTGGCCTAAGGTGCCCCTGGCTCTGCGGTCCATTTTGGGAGCCCCAGGGGCCCCGTGGGCCTCGCGAGGGGTGCTCTGGAGGCCCGTGGGGGCCTCCTTCCACCACCTCCTCCTCCTCCTCCTCCTCCTCCTCCTCCTCCTCGTCCTCCTCCTCTGGAGGCCGTGGGGGGTGCCTTGGGCCAGGGGGGCACCTCCTGCGGCGCCCGATCCAGGGAGGTCTCGGAGGCCACCCTGGCCATCGACGGCGTGGACTTCGGGCACCTCCCGCGGGCGGCCAGCGGGCCCCCCGCGGCGGTGCGGGAGCGGCCCCTCGAGCTGGAGCCCCAGCGGCTCCGGGCCAGCTACGGCCTCGCCGCGCCCTTCCGCGTCGCCGCGGGCGGCGGTGGCTGGCTCCTCGGGGCCCCCCCAGACGGTGGGGTGGCCACGCCGCGTGCTGCGCCCTCGGAGGAGGAGGAGGTACCCTATACCGATGCCCTTCCCTCGTTTCCCCCTTTCTCGGGCCTCCTGGGAGGCCCTTGTCGCCAGCGCTGCAGTCGCCTCGAAGTCCTGGTCAGAACGCACGAACGCGCCCCGGGAGAGGTCCGGGGAGCAGCGGTATCGGTGCCTCTTGGTTCCCCAGAGCCCGTGGCTTGGCATCGCTCCGGACGTGTGCATTTTTCTCGACGGGAACCATCGAGGAGCCTATCGAGTCATCTTGCGACCGAGGAAGTCTCGGGCGACTTAGGCCTCCGAGGTCCCAAGACTGCGCGGTGGCGGGTCGCACGGTGAGGTCGTTGGGGGCTCCGAGGTCAGCATGCGTTACCAGGCCGAAACAGATCCCTACCCCGAAGATCGGCATCAGCTTCTCTCGATGCTGACCTTACGGATCCCCTCAGCTCCTTCCGAGTGTGCACCTCTGCGCCTGTCAGTCTTCGGGGCAGGGACAGGCCCGAAGCTGGTTCACGCGCGGTCCGTCACCACGCGTCTGCGGGGCCCCAGAGGCTCTGCGGGGTGCTGCGGTGCTGCGGCCAGGCGCAGACCGCCCCAGACTCCACCCGGCTGCCGCGCCCCGCGCTCGGGGAGCAGCCGGGCGCGAGCGCCGCCTGGAGCCCCGCGGGCGCTGCCGCGCCGGACGACGCCGTGTGCGGCGGGGCGATGCCGCCGCTGCCCGAGCGAGGCGGGGTCCCCTGCAAGTGGCGCGCGGCGCCGGGGCCCGCCGTGGCGGCCGCCGAGGCGGAGAGGCTGCTGGGCCCAGAGGGCGCTGGCGGCGGCGAGGCGCTGGCCGACGAGACGGACGGCCACTCCAGGCCTTGTGCTCCAGCGGGAGGAGGGACAGGAGGGGGTAGGTCCAGTTGGCCTGCTGGGGGGGGCAGGAGGAGGAGGAGGAGGAGGAGGAGGAGGAGGAGGAGGAGGAGGAGGAGGAGGAGGAGGAGGAGGAGGAGGGAGGAGGGGACGGAGGAGGAGGAGGAGGAGGAGGGGGGAGGAAGGAGGAGGAGGAGGGAGTCGGGGGGAGGAGGAGGAGGAGGAGGAGGAGGGAGGAGGAGGAGGAGGAGGAGGAGGAGGAGGAGGAGGAGGGAGGAGGAGGAGGAGGAGTAGGAGGAGTAGGAGGTAGGAGGAGGAGGAGGAGGAGGAGGAGGAGGGGAGGAGGAGGAGGAGGAGGAGGAGGAGGAGGAGCGTGAGGAGGACGAGGAGGAGCGAGGAGGAGGAGGGGAGGAGAGGAGGAGGAGTAGGAGGAGGAGGAGGAGGAGGAGGAGGAGGAGGAGGAGGAGGAGGAGTCGGGGAGGAGGAGTAGGAGGAGGAGGAGGAGTAGGAGGAGGAGGAGGCGGAGGAGGAGGAGGAGGCAGGAGGAGGAGGAGGAGGAGGAGGAGTGAGGAGGAGGAGGAGGTCCCTGCAGGAGGAGGAGGAGGAGGGGGAGGAAGGAAAAGGTATGGGGAGGAGGTAGGCAGGAGCCCGAGGGATACGCCCTCCCCCTTGCAGGCCGAAGGTCGCGAAGCAGAAGGGCAGGGAGCCGAGGTGCTGCTCGCTGCAGTGAGGCCCCCCACCGGTCGCTCTGGCCCAGAGGTGCTCCCTCGCCCTCTCCCCGCCTCGCCCCCCCCCCCCCCCCCTCCCCCCTGGGTGGACGCCCTCTCCGCCTCGCCCTCGCACTCGCCCTCGCCCTCGCCCTCGCCCTTTCCCCGCCCTCGCCCTCGTCCTCGCCCTCGCCTTTCGTCCCGACCGCCTCGCCTCGCCCTCGCCCTCGCTCCGCCCCACCGATTCTGGCCAGGGGCCTCACCCCTCCGCGAAGCCGAGAGCGAGCTTTGCCGCCCCTCCTCCTCAGGAGCCGAAGAAGAACATACGCGTGCATGAATCCGCGTTGGTTTCGAGAGTACGCATTGCGCGAACGTTCGAAACAAGAGGTTGGTCTCGCGGACTGGGGGGCCGTGTTCTAGTAGTAGTTATATCGTTGAATTGTTTCAGGACGAGAGCCCCGTTCCTTCGTCCTGCCACTCCTACAGCTGTTGCTCTTTTTTCGATGTCATCCTCGCAATTTCGCCCCCCTCCCAGCCTTCCTTCATCCTGCTCCCCTGTTGTAGCTGGAGGCAAGTACCGCCGACCAACTGGCGCTGCTGCCTTGCCCTTCCCGACGGCAACGATCCTCGCGAGGGCGGCTGCATCAAAAAAGAGGCAGCAGAGAAGAAGAAAGGGGAAGGAGGGGAGGGGGTAAAAGGGAGCGGGGGGGGGGGGGAAGCAGGGATGAGGGGGGCCTGGGAGAGGCATGGGAGAATTACGCTGTTTTGCCAGACGTGGGCTTCGCCGCCCTGACGACCCCGCGTCCGCCTCGAAGGCCTCGGGAGAGGCAGGCAGGGCGCCTCGGTGGGGAGGGGCTGCCGCTGGCCGCCTCGCGCGGCGGCCTGGCCGCGCGCCCCGCCGCCCAGGAGCCGGTGCGCAACCCCCAGGGCGGCAAGGCCAGTGGCCCCGCGGATCCCGCCGTGGAGGCTCGGGGGGGGGGGGGGGGGGGGGGCGGCGCCGCCATCGTCGGGCGGGTGGCGAGAGGGGGTGTTGCCAGAAGTGCCCCTGGCCCAAGGTGCCCCCAGGATTTTGAAGGAGGCCCCCGCAGTCTCCAGAGCAGCCCTCACGAGGCCCAGAGGGCCCCGGGGGTCCAAAATCCAGCGAAAAGCTGGGGGCACCTTGGGCACCTTGGCACCTTTGGACACCGGCGATAATTGAGGATGATCTACTTGGGCGGTGAAGAAGAGGGCCCTGAAAGGGGCCCCTCAGGGCCCCCTCTCATAAAACCAACATGGGCCCCAGAATCAGAGGCCAGCAACATATGTACACGTACGCTGTTAGTTTCCCCCGGAGTGCGTGTCAACGCGGACGTTCGTGCAGGCAAGACCGCGGAGAGCGTACATGTACATATGTCGTTGCTCGCCCACAGAGGGGCCCTCAAGGGCCCTTGCTCTGCATCCCCCATGCAGGTCCCCCCCCCATTAGAACCCGACCGCCGTCGACTGCTGGCCTCTTCGCTCCGCCTCGGCGTGCCCTTCGCCCCTTGTCGGTGTGAGCGCTCGTCGCCTCGCTGTCGCCGCGGCCGCCGCCGTCGACGCCGTCGCCGCCGCCGCCGCCGTCGCCGCGGAGCCGCCGCCGCCGGCGCCGTCGGCAGCCCCGCAGACCTACCGACCGACCCTTACTCCGGGGCCAGGCGCTTCGATCAGAGGGCGCCGCGCTCCAAGGCGCGGCGCACCGTCGCCGCGAGGTGCGGCCCCCATTCGGGGGCTCCCCCCCCGCTCAGCATCTTGGCATTGTTCGGACGTGCGCACGTGTTTGTCGGCGAGGCCAGCGCCAGAAGGTCTGGAGCACCTCGTGTCCTCCAGCGACTGAAAACCACGCGCGAGGCCGCACAGTGCACGGGGAGTGGACGTCAGAGCGATGGCAAGGCACCGACGCCGACGAACTGCTGTGGTCTTTGCCTCTTTGGGCTTCTGCGGGGGGGCCCTCGTCGCCACGGCCAGGTGCCCCTCGAGTCGTCGTCGTCGTCGTCGTCGCCGTCGCCGTCGCCGTCGCCGTCGCCGTCGCCGTCGCCGTCGCCGTCGCCGTCGCCGTCGCCGTCGTCGTCGCCGTTCGCCGTCGCCGTCGCCGTCGCCGTCGCCGTCGCCGACGCCGTCGCCGTCGCCGTCTCGCCGTCGCCGCTTGCGCCGTGTTCGTCGTCGTCGTCGTCGTCGTCGTCGTCGTTGCCGTCCCAGGGGAAGCCCCTGAGGGCGGTCAAGACGGCCCCCGGCCAACTTGACAAGATGTGCCAGGACGGCCGCGGCGTCCGCCCCCGCCCGCCTGGGACGAGGTGGAGGGAGGAGGGTGGAGGGAGGCGGGTGGATAGGGGGGGAGGACGGAGGAGGAGGAGGGAGAAGGGAGGAGGGAGGAGGGAGGATGGAGATGGAATATTGAGGAAAATGAGGGAGAAGGGAATGAGGGAGGAGGGAGGGAGGGAGGAGGGAGGGAACGGTGGGTAGGGAGGAGGGAGCGAGGAGGGATGGCGAAAGGGAGGGGAGGGGAGGGAGGAGGAGCGGGAGGGTAGGGAGGAGGGGGAGGGAGGGCGAGGGAGGGGAGGGGACGGGGAGGGGAGGGGAGGGGAGGGGAGGGGAGGGGAGGGGGGAAAAAGGGGTGGAGGGAGGGAGGGAGGGAGGGAGGGAGGGAGGGAGGGAGGGAGGGAGGGAGGGATGAGGAGGAGGAGGAGGAGGAGGAGGAGGAGGAGAGGAGGGGGGGGGGGGAGGGGGAGGAGGAGGAGGAGGAGGAGGAGGAGGAGGAGGAGGAGGAGAGGAGGAGGATGGGGAGGAGGAGGGGAGGATGAGGAGGAGGAGGAGGAGGAGGAAAAGGGAAAGGAAAAGGAGAAGGAGAAGGAGGAGGAAAAGGAAAAGGAGGAGGGAGGAGAAGGAGGAGGACGAGGTCGAGGATGAATAGGGGATGGGGGAGGAGGGGGAGGAGGATAGAGGGGAGGAGGACGGGGGGGAGCAGCTGGAGGAGGAGGAGGAGGAGGAGGAGGAGGAGGAGGAGGTTGATGATGAGGATGATGATGAGGAGGGGGGGGGGATCAGGAGGACCAGTGTGAACCCAAGATTCATCAACGATGTTGGAATCAACCCTCCCTCCAAGCTCCCTTTTCAGAGGCTCCTACAAGTGTTCATTTCCACTGAGGGAACTGCCTCGTTGGGAGACAACATTTTGAAGACCCTGAAGCGTGCCGATCACCATTCTCGGGACTCCAACGCCACGAATCAACCTGACTGTTGCGTCGTGACAATCTTAAATCGTGCCAGAACATCATTCCGGGCCTTCGATATCACGAATCAGCGTAACTGTTGCGACCTCATCTTCCGGATTTTTTCCAACAACGCAGTTTTGGTACGCTGGCCATGGGAATTCGCGAACTTCTTGCACCTGTTTAAGAAGAGTGTGCGCGGTGCTAAGGCGAGAGCCTCATTTCGAAACGCAGCCGTCCTCAATCCGTGAAGCGCTTGCAACAATTTAAGACGAATGTGCGCGGCTGTAAGGCAAGAAAAACATTTTGAAAACGACCTGCCCTCAATCCGTGAAGCCCTTGCACATTTTGAGAAGGAATGCGCGCGACATTGAGGCGAGCGCCACGTTTTGAAAACGACCCGCCCTCAATCCGTGAAGCCCTTGCGCATTTTTCAGACGAATGTGCGCGGCGCTAATGCGAGAGAGCAACACATTCAAAACGGCTTGTCGTCAATTCGTGAAGCTCTTGCACACTGTGAAAACGAATGTGCGCGGCGATGGGGCGACAGAGCCGCATTTTCAAAACGTCCCATCCTCAATCCCTGAAGCTTTTTGCGAATTTTCAAAACGAATGTGCGTGGCGCTAAGTCGAAAGAGTAACATTTTCAAAACGGCCTGCCGTCAGTCTGTGAAAACCTTGCACATATTAAAGACGAATGTGCGCGGCTGTAAGGCGAGACAAGCACATTCTGAAAAAGACATGCCCTCAATCCGTGAAGTCCTTGCACGTTTTGAGAACGAAGGTGCGTGGCGCTGAGGCAAGAACCACGTTTTGAAAACGACCCGCCCTCAATCCGTGAATGACCTTGCACATAAAAGCGAGTGTGCGTGGCGCTCAGGCGAGAGAGCAACATTTTCAAACGGCGTTGCAAATGTTTAAAACGAATGTGCGCGGCGCCAAGGCGAGAGCCACATTTTGGAAACCACCCGCGCTACATCTGTGAAGCTGTTGCCAAGTTCACAGACGAAACGTCCAGCCCGTCCTTTCGACCGGCCTCGGGATGCGACAGGGATGAGTTATGTATAACGATTAGGAATGGAGGAGGAGGAGGAGCAGGAGGAGGAAGAAGAGAAGGAGGAGGATGATAATGATGATGATGCGGAGGAGGAAGAGGAGGAGGAAGAGGAGGACGAGGAAGAGGAGGAGGAGGAAGAGGAGGAGGAGGACGAGGATAAGGATGAGGATGAGGATGAGGAGGGGAAGGATGAGGAGGATGAGGATACTGATAACGTTAATGCTGATAATGCTGATGATGATGTTGATGCTGATGATGCTGATGATGCTGATGATGAAGATGTAGATGATGATGATGATGACCATGACGACGATGATGATGATGCTGATGGTGTTGAAGATGATGATGATGATGGTGATGATGATGGTACTGATGACGATGATGATGACGATGATGATGGTGATGGTGATGGTGAGGAGGAGGAGGAGGCGGAGCATGATGAGGACGAGGACGAGGAGAGGGGGGGGGATGAGGAGGAGCAGGATGAGGAGGAACATGAGGAGGATGAGGAGGAGCAGGAGGAGGATGAGGATGAGAGGGGGGAGAAGGAGAAGGATGAGGAGGAGGAGCAGGAGGTTGGGGAGGGGGAAGGGGGAGGACTAGGAGGAGGAGGAGGAGGAGGAGGAGGAGCGGGAGGAGGAGAAGGAGGAGGAGGATGCGAAGGAGGAGGAGGAGGTGGAGGGTGCTGCTGCTGCTGCTGATGATGATGATGATGATGATGATGATAATGATGCTGCTGCGGCTGATGATGATGACGATGTTGATGTTGATGATGATGATGATGATGATGATGATGATGATGATGATGATGATGATGATGATGATGATAATGCTAATGATGATTATAATGGTTGTGATGATGCTGACGATGACGACGATGGTGATGATAGTGTCGACGCCGATGCTGATGCTGATAATGATGGTCATTATGATGCTTTTGTTGTTGTTGTTGCTATTATTGTTGTCCTTTTTGTGCTTGTTGCACTTGTGTTTGTTGTTGTTGTTGCTGTTGCTGTTGTCGTTGTTGAGGCTGTTGTTGTTGTGGTTGTTGTTGTGGTTGTTGTTGTGGTTGTTGTTGTGGTTGTGGTTGTTGATGTTGTTGTTGTTGTTGTTGTTGTTGTTGTCGTTGTTGTCGTCGTCGTCGTCGTCGTCGTCGTCGTCGTCGTCGTCGTCGTCGTCGTCGTCGTTGCTGTCGTTGTTGTTGTTATTGTTGTTGTTGTTGTTGTTGTTGTTGTTGTTTGTTGTGATGCTCCTGTCGATGCTTATGCTGTTGTTCAGTTCGTATTCTGAAGAATAATTAATGTGATCCACCCTCACGGGGCATTACTGTTTTTATCAATCAAAGTGTGCCCGGCGACGTCGCACCCCGTGTTTGACAGGGGACAGTTTGAAAACTGGGCCCTGGCCCCCAGATTACAACCACACAAAACAACAACAACAACAACAACACATACAATTATACTGAGTGGGGACACAACGTTCTCAACAGTGCCAAGGGTTTTCATAGGAGGGGGCAAATACCCCCATTTTTGGGGGGAGGTCAAGCTCTACCAAATTTCCAAACGGACTCTTTCGCACCACCCACACCCCAGCTTTCTTTTATTTTTTTTATTTTTTTTTTTTTCTTTTTTTTCCCGCCCTATGACATTCGGACACTTCACTTCGTGGCATGCGGACGACCGTGGCTACTATTCAGGGCCCCGCGGCCGACGACGACGGCGTGCGCGCGCGAAGAAAAAACGAATGCGTCCCGCATGGTATTATTTGACAGGGATGATGGCCCTGGCAGGTGCGCAACCGTTGTTGCAGAAGTTCGAAAAAGTTGACGCAAAAGCCCGTTTGACAGAAATGATTGAAAAATGTTGGGTTTCCTACGAATCCGCAAGAGCGCGCGGGATGAAATTTTGACTTTTTTTTTTTTTTTTTTTTTTTTTTTTTTTTTTTTTTTTTTTTTGAAAAACCATTTGTTTTTTGATGTTTTTATGTTAAAATCGTTACGAAAACTAAGGTTTTGGAAGGATTTCGTCTTGCGCGCGCGAATGTCCACTTTACCTTATTTTTTGCATGGGATTCTTGAAGTTTGGTTATGTTAGAACAAGAAATGTCCACTTTAGTTTATTTTTTGCAAGGGAAAACCGATCGTAACAACACAACCGGATCCGGACCAACCCGTTTTGCCTGAGACTTCCTCATGAAAATGATGAAAATGAGGCTGCGGCCTAGGCGCGGCGGGGGGGTCGTGCACCAGGGGTCCGAACAATAATTATTCTTTAGAAGTAATAATGTTCAGCGGCTCCCGCCTGAGACTTCCTCCAAATTTACTCAAGACCTCTGCTCCCGCCTGAGACTTCCTCACAATTTACTCCGGATCGGTGCTCCCGCCTGTGACTTCTTCGCAATTTAGTCAGGACACCCGCTCCCATCTGAGCTGAGATTTCTTTTCACATTACTCAGGAACGGCGCTCCCGCTAGAGACTTCCTCGCGATTGAGTCAAGACGTCTTCGCAATGTAACCAAGACCCCCGCTCCCGCCAGAGAACCCCCCACATTTTATGCAGGAATTGCGCTCCCGCTTGTGACTGCCATGCAATGTATTCAGAATTCGCGCTTTCGACGCTCAGGAAACACGCTGCGCCAAGGACGCCGTCACAATTTACTTAGGAATCGCGCTCTCGCCAGACTCAGGCATCCCGCTTGAATGTCCCACCCGCCCGACCCGCCCGTCAGGGGATCGCCCGCCCGTCGTGGGCTGCCGCCCGAGACTTCCTTCAGGAACGGCGCTTTCGCCTAGGACTTCCTCGAACGTTCACGCTCTTACCTTCCTGCTCCTCCTCCCTCTCCCTCCTCCCTCCTCCCTCCTCCCCTCCTTTCTCTGTCCCTCCTCTCTTCCCTCATCCTTATGCCTCTCTGCCCTATCCCGTCTCCCTTCTCCCTTCTCCCTTCTCCCTCCCCTCTCCTGCCTCCTCCCTCCCTCCCTCTGTCTTTTTTCTCTGTCTCCCCTCTCTCTGTCTCTCCTTCTCTACCTCTCTTATCTGTCTTTCTCTTTCTCTCTGCCTCTAATCAACCGCCCCCTCTTCGCTCCTTCTCTCCTGGCGTTTTCCCTCTTCCTTCGTCCCTCGCCCTCCCTTCCTCCCACTCCCTCGTTTTCCCTCCTCTTTTTGCAGGGCCCACAAATTCCAAAGGCGGGCACATGTACGCCCACGAAGGATTGTCCGATCGTTCAGGTTTGCCCGCCTGTCTAAGCCCGCCGCCCCCCGCAAAGAGAAATAATCCCTCCAAAGGGGGTGTAATCGAAAACGAGAAGTGCGGGTATCGAGGGTGTGGGGAATTCGTTTTGAATGACACACGGGCAAGTAAGAACGAACAGTCTTATAATGATTGTTGTCGTTGTTGTCGTCGTCGTCGTCGTCGTGATCGTTGTAGTTGAACTTTCATTTCGGAATAATAATTATTGTTAATCCCCCCACCGGTGCATGTTGTCTTTTCTCAACCAGAGTGTGCGCCATCGACGCTCGCACCCCGTTTTTTGACGAGGAAAGTCTTGATGCTCAAACTGTGCCCCTGACCCCCGGGTTACAGCAACAACAACAACATCAACAACAATAATGGCTCCCGCCTGAGACTTCCTCACAATTTAGCCAGGACCCCCGCTCCCGCCCGAGACTTCCTCGCATTTTATGCAGAAATCGCGCTCTCGCTTGGGACTTCCTTACAATAAAAGCAGGAATCGCTCTCCCGGCGCTCTGGACTCGCGCTCTCGCTGGAGACTCGCTTGCAATTTAATGAAGAATAGCGCCCTTGTGTTGGAATTTCTTGCAATTTGTTCAAGCGCCGCGCTCTCGACACACAGGCGCCCAGGAATCGCGGCCGTTGTGGCCCCGTGTGCATGCTGTTCGTGGCCCCGCTGTCGCCGTTTGTGGCCCTCTCACTGCCCTACATGGCCCAGTTGCTACCCTCAGTGGCCTGGCCCAGCGCTGCAAGTGAGGAGCTCCCCACCCTGGCAGCCTGAGCGTACTTCTGCTCCATGCCCTCGTGCAGGAAACCGTACCCGAACTTCTTCAGCTTCTCCTGCTCCTGGGCTTGAAGCCTGGCCTCGTCCGCCGTCACCATCAAAACCGCCGCCTTCGGCGAGGCCTGCAGCTGCCACTGGCGGTGCCCGGCCTCTTGCTCGATGCCCTTGATGAGCCGGCCCATGCAGCAGCCCGCGTCGACCTGGCGCACCAGCGAGTGCCCTGATGGGCCTGTTTTTCACCACCACCACCACCACAAGTTGGAGGCGGGAAGGAGGAGGAGGAGGAGGAGGAGGAGGAGGAGGAGGAGGAGGAGGAGGAGGAGGAGGAGGAGGAGGAGGAGGAGGAGGAGCACCCCCCTCCCCCTCCTACTTCTTCTGGTGGTGGTGGTGGAAAACAGGCCCACCGTGCCCGATGAACGCCTTGAATACACACTGATGTCCATCAGGCCGCCGTCCCTGGCCCGGGGCGGCTGCGCCCCTCTCAAGAGCGCCGCCCTCAACGGCCCCCCTTGGACCTGAAAGGGGGCAGGAGGAGGAGGAGGAGGAGGAGGAGGAAGCAGGAGGAGGAGGAGGAGGAGGAGGAGGAGGAGGAGGAAGGAGGAGGAGGAGGAGGAGGGGGGTGAGGAGGAGGAGGGAGGAGGAGGAGGAGGAGGAGGAGAGGAGGAGGAGGAGGAGGGGAGGAGGAGGAGAGGAGGAGGAGGAGGACGCAGGAGGAGGAGGTGGATGATGATGAAATTGCGGATAGGGATGATTGGGTTCGGGAGGCGGAGGAGGAGATGAGGAGGATGAGGAGGGGGTGGGAGAAGGAGGAGGAGGATGAGGATTAGGACGGGGAGGTTTCCGCATTCTAATTGTACTGCATTTCCCTGTCATTGCTGCCCGGGCATTCGGCTTCTGCTGAACCAAGGGTTGCCACACCCAAGACGCTGGCCTTTCTCTGCCGGGTTTCCGGCCCTTCGCACGTCGTCGCAACGGCGATGCAGTTCGTGGCTAGCGTGACACGTAGCTACTCCGGATTCCATAATAAAGTAGGGGGGTAGATTTGGCGGGGGGGTCTGATTTGATATGTCTTGAAGGGTTAGGGGGGGTTTGGGCAAAGTGCCGCCCTTTCATGGATGGTCTGGGGGGGTCTAAAACCTGTGGTCTGGGAGGATTGTGACCCCCTCCCTTTTATTACGAAATCTGGAGTATCGGTCCTGTGGTTGCGGCTCGCTGCCGCGTCCGAGGAGAGGCGTGTGCGTTGCCGTTGCCACTCGGACGTCGCCCGTCCATTTGCCGTGCGTCATCGCCCCCTCGTCGAGGGTCACCCCTGCTGGGGGCAGGAGGAGAGCGAGGAGGCCGGGGAGCGGCCTCTCCCTTCCCGCGGAGGAGGACGAGGAGGACGAGGATGACGAGGAGGAGAGCTCGGAGGACGAGGACCAGGAGGACGAGGAGCGGCCCCTCCCCTACCCCCCCCCGCCCGCGAGGAGAAGGCGGAGACCCCGCCGAGGAGTCTGGAGAAGAAGGCGAAGCAGCCGAAGCAGCAGGCCAGCCGTCGCCTGCCTTGCCCCCGACTTCTCACCTCCTCTCTTCTCCTGTCTTCCGTCGTTCCGATCCTGTGTATCCTTTCGGCTCATCTCCGCTTATCCCCCGTTCTCTCCTCTCCCCTCTTCCGTTTTCCTCCCTTCGCATCTCATTTCCTCTGTCTTTTCTCACTCTCTCTCTCTCTCTCTTCTCTGCCCTCCTCTCCTCTCTTCTCCTTTCTCCTTTCTCCTCTCCTTTCTCCTTTCTCCTTTCTCCTTTCTCCTCTCCTCTCCTCTCCTCTCCACTTTGCCCTCTTTGCGGGTAGCCAGACGGTATTCGACACCGAGGCTGGCAGTGCTTACCCCCCCTGGCCGTCGAGGCCAGCAGGAGCGTCACTGACGACGTCCCTCTCGAGGGGCTCGCGGAGGCGCCCGACAGCGAAGACCGACTCTTTTTCGATGAGCTGAAGTGGGAGCGTCCTGAGTCGTGGTACCCTCCCCCGGCCTCCTCTCCTCAGCAGATTTTGTTAAACCCCGACGGGGTCGAGGTTGAGCGGGGATCGATTGATCCCTCGAAGTGTGATGCCGCCATGGACGGATCCGCTCATCGACGCACCAAGCGGGAGCTTTCCAGGGCCGCTTTCTCTTGGGTGTTTCTTGGGGAAGGGGGTAGCATACAGGGTTACGCTAAAGGCACGGTGCTTGACGGCCTCCACCAGACCTCCCAGGCTGCCGAACATCAGTGCATGGCCCTTCTTCCCATGTTAGCGAGGCAGCGCTCGTTACTCCGATTGCATGAACGTGGTTCGCCTGTGCAACCAGTCTCGCGCCTTCCAGGTTTTTCGCAAGCATCGGTACGATGGCCTTCGGCGCGGAGCGCTGCTGCACGAGCATGACCCGATCCCTGACACGTAGCACACTAAAGCGCACCGCGATCGAGCGGAGCTGGACTCTCTCCCTGTGCACGAGCGTCGTATCGGTGTGGGTAACTGGACTGTTGATGTGCATGCCAAGCAGGCCCTCTTCCTCCATTCCCAACCTTCTGTGCACGAACGTGAGGATGTGGACAGGATGTGCAAAGAAGCTTGCCTTTGTAGCCAGAGTCCTAGGCAAGACTCTCGCTGTTTTCTCGTTGAGAAGTATGGTCGTCCTCCTACGGGTCCGAGGGCCCGGTCTTTAAAGTCGGGGGGCTGGCACGCTTGGAGTGATAACGGCCAAGCACGTGCTCGCTGCCTTCGTTGTTTCTTGTACTCGGAGCCCTCGGGCCCACCCATGCTTGGTTGTAAGGGCCTCCACAAGACTCGGCGGGGTGTCCTTGACCTCGCCAAGGGCCATGAGCTGGCCCATCGAGTCATTCAGAAGGGATATCAGTTTTTAACGATGTTCTTTTGTGTGGTGTGCGGAGCGTGCACTGCACAGCGTTGCCACCTTCTTGGCAAGGAGTGCTCCCAGCACAAGTTGTCAGGCGCTCCCGCAATATTCCGTCGAGCCGATTTGGGCCTCTATCCACGCTACCGTGAACAGTCATCTGTCAGTGTGTGTGTGTGTGTGCGCGCCGTGGTGTGTCTTCCCTGCGGAACGCCGCCGTTTTGCCGCCACCGCAGGAAGTCAGTTTTTTGCGCAGCCGTCGTCGTCCTCAGGGGTTATCAACACACCGGGGATGCTGGCTCTGCAGGCGCGTGCCCAGGCCCGCGAGGCGTCGCGCATAGCCGCCTCGCGCATCATCCACCTCAGGTGGGATGCGCGACTGTGTGCACCATGGTCATGCCCTCGTGGGGTCGCAGATGAATCCTCTCCTCTCCTCTCCACTGCTCTGCTCTGCTGTGCTCTGCTCTCCTCCTCTTCCTCTTCCTCCTCCGATCCTCATCGATCCTCAATCCCCCTCCAGTCCACCTGACCCAACCTCTCCTCTCCTCATACTCTGACTTTCCTCCTGCCCTCCTCTTTTCTTTGTCTCCTTGCCTCCTCCTCGCCTCTGCTCCACCATATGTGAGTACTTCTCTCTTCTCTCCCCAGGTTCTGTCTTTATTTGCCGCCGCCTATCCCGCATATGCACAGAACGTCGCTCTCGCTGCATCGCTGGCCGTATTCGTATATCCGCGAAAGTGATGCTCCAAGTGAAGCGTTCGCCATGTTTCATAATTTCCGCGGAGTTTCCGAGCCTCCGTCCCATTGACGGACGCTGTCGCCGTCGCCGTGGCTGTGCTAGTGCATCGGTGCGCGTGGTGTGCTCGCTTTGACGTTTGCCACGTTCCAGGGCAACGTTGTCCTTTTTCGGATCGTTTCTTCGTCGATACCCAAGTCAGAGAACAGCGGGGGCCTACTATACATATAACGGGGGACCGGGTCCGGGGGCGGGGGGCCGGCGCCCCGACCACACATGTGGGGCCCGGGCGTCATTTTCCTTTGTGTTTTTACAGGGCTTCGGCGACCCGGGGCCAACAGGGCCCCAAGAGGCTGCAGGGAGGCCCCAGGGGGCCGCAGCGATGGCTCCAGGCGCCTTTCAAGACGACTCCCATGACGCCAAGAAGGCACCCGAAGGCCCCGAAGACGCCCCAAGAGGCATCCCGAGAGAGGACCAATAAGCAGAACTCGTCGATTTCCCATGGGGAAACTGATATTTTTAGCGTGTTCGCCTTGCGGGCGTCCACTGCGTCCAAGACGGCCCAAGAGGCCCCCAAGACTGCGCCACAGGCTCCCAAGAGGTCTCCAAGACGACCCTAAGAAGGTCCCAAGACGGCCCGAGAGGCCCCCAAGGCAGCCCAAGAGAGCCCCAGGACGAGCCCCAGAGAGGTCCCAGAGGTGCACAATCATACTCAAATTCCGAGCTTTCGGCCCCAGAGGCTCCAGGAGGCCCCAAGAGGTCCCCAGGAGGCCCCAAGAAGCCCCCCAGAGGCTCCAAGGGGCCCCCAAGAGACCCCCAGGAGGCTCCAAAGAGGCACCCCAATAGAGCCCCAACCAAGCAAACATCGGCGACTTCCTGTAGGAGAACTGATATTTTTTGGCGTATTCGCCTTTTGGGCTTCCACTGCGTCCAAGACGGCCCAAGAGGCACCCAAGACGGTCGAGGATGCCCACAAGAGGGTTCCAAGAAGGCCTACGAGGTGGCCAAGACGGCCCACGAGACGCCTAAACCGCTCAACAACGCCCCAAATCGGCGCCCAAGACGGGGACGAGGAACCGAAAACGCGAGCCATTTTTTTTTTTGCTGTAGGCGACTGCACAGCCAAACTTCCGCAGAGATTGACAGGCAGGCAAGAAGAAAAGGACCCACTCGCAAGCGCAGACTACTTCGAGCCTAGCGCCGCGAGTGCCAGTCGCTGAATCAGCACCGAGCTGCACTCAGCAAGGCGAGCACAACTGGCATCAGCGACACCGCGGTAGAGGCTCCCTCCTCCCGCAGTCGCCATTTGGCCCACGAGGCCCCCAGGAGACCCCAAGAGGCTCCAAGAAGCGCCCAGGAAGCCCCAAGAGGTCCCAAAGAGACCAGCAAAAACACAAAACGAGTCCTCGAACACGCCCCAAGGGGCACTCCAATAGAGCCCCAATAAGCAAACATCGTCGATTTCCTATGGGACAACGGATATTTTTGGCGTGTTCGCCGTTTGGGATTTCCTACAGGGAAACTGCTATTTTTGGCGTGTTCGCCTTTTGGGCTTCCACTACGTCCAAGATGGCCCAAGGGGCACCCAAGACGGTCGAGGATGCCCCCAAGAGGGCTCCAAGACGGCCCACGAGGGGTCCAAGGCGGCCCCCTCGTGGGCAGTCTTGGCCCCTGGAACTGGAAAAACATAGAAATCCCACAATTCCTTTATTCTTTCAAGTTTGTTCCCCGGTCTTCTCCTGCACAACAGACCACAATTCAGACCCCCCTCTCCTCCCAAAAAAGAATCCAGGAAGCCTTTGAGAGCCCCAAATCGTTGAATACCTAAAGGAAATGTATGATTCCTGCGTTTCCGAGTTTCCCCTTCTATGCGATTCCGAGGCTTGCGCAGGGCCTACAAGGGAGTCCCAGGACGCAAGCAGCGACCAAAATGAGATGACACGACTTAGCCTATCAAGCCTAGCTAGAACTTGAGCGCGCGCGCGAAGCGCGCGCGATGGCTCTAGTTCCATATAGTACAGTGCCGTTTTTCATACATGCTCCGCGTGAGGATCATGTATTAACATGCATGGATTCAGTATAAAAAAGCAACGATGAGTTCATGCATAAATTTATTCATAAGTTCATCATGTACTAACATCTTATATGTTTAAACATCATATGTATTAAAAAACAACTGCCCTGTAGGGGATGGGAGGGAGGGGTATCATGTCAGGTGTGGCGCGGGTGCGCCACTCCTGTCCTCATCAGAGGGCGGCGGGCCTTGGCAGAAGCCTGGCCGCCTCTCGAGCACCCATCCCGTGGCTTCGGAGAGGGCTCAGCATCCTTCTCGGAGCCCTCTGAGAAGGCCCTCGCAATGGGCAGAGATGGGCGGCAGGGACAGGATGCAGATATGGCGCGAGCGCACTCGGCTTGCCTCAGCCTCTCTCTCTCCCCCTCCACCCTCCCCTCCCCCCCCCGCCGCCGCCGCAGGACGAGGCTGTGGAGCCGGGGAGAGGGGCGGTCGAGAAGAGGCGGAGGAAGGGCGAGGTCGGTCCAGGATGAGCTGGACCTCCTCCTCCCCGCCGAACTCGTGTTTTTTTTTGTTTTGTTTTGTTTTTGTTCTTTTTTTTTCCCCCTTCTTTCTGTTGCATGCGGACGCGGCCGTGCTCCGCGAGGGCGGCCGCCGCGTGAGCGCTTCCCATCCCTTCCCCGCCCCGCAGCCGCCCCCCCCCCTCTCTCTCTGCTTCACCCTGCCTTGCCGCCGGATAACTCGCGTCGGCCATCGCCCCGGCCCTCCCGAGCGCGCGCGCGCGGACTGCCTCTGCCGCGCTGGACCCCCAGAGATCTGGGCCCCTTCCCCGGGACAGGTTTCTCTCGCCCCGGATCGTCTCTGTCGGCCTCTGGGGCCCAGCGAGGGCCCCTCGAGGCCGAAGGTAGCGCAAAACCTCCCGTCGTGATGCTTTCGCAGCGCCTTCTCCTCCTCCTCCTCCTGCTTCTCCTCCTCCTCGTCCTCCTCCGCCTCCTCCTCCACCTCCTCCGCCTCCTCCTCCCTCCTCCTCCTCCTCCTCTCCGCCTTCCTCCTGCCCCTCCTCCTCATCCTCCTCCTCCTCCTCCTCCTCGATTCTCCTCCTCCTTCCTCTTCCTCCTCCTCCTCGTCCTCGTCCTCCTCTCCTCCTCCATTCCTCCTTCTCCTCTTCTCCTCCTCCTCATCCTCTCCTCGTCCTCCTCACTCGTCCTTCCTCCTCCCCTCCTCTCCTCCTGGCTCCTCTCCTCCGCCTCCTCCTCCTCCTCTCCTCCTCCCGCATCTCCTCTCCTCCTCCTACCCTCCCTCCTCTTCTCCTCCTCTTCTCCTCCTCCTGTCCTCGTCCTCCTCCTCCTCCTCCTCCTCCTCCTCCTCCTCCTCCTCCACCTCCTCCGCCTCCTCCTCGCTCTCTTGGGCGGCCGGCGCTCCCGCGCGCCGCGCCGCTGCGGGGGCCGCCCGCGCTCGCGGCCGCCCGCAGGCAGCCCCGCAGCCGAAGCCGCCGCTGCAGGAGGCGCCGCAGGAGCAGCCGCAGTCCCCCGCGGCGGCGGCCGCCGCGCCGCCGGCTCCCGCGGCCGACGCCGCGCCGGAGGCGCCCGCGGCGGAGGAGCCCTGGGCGCCCCGGCGCTCGGAGGAGCCCTGAGATCCCAGGCCTAGGGGGCCAGATTGCGAATCCTCCCCCTACCCACCACGATTTGATTTTTTTTTGAGGGTGGGGAGGGGCCGAGCGAATTTCAGTTACAAAAGGTGAGCCCCCACCCGTCCCCTCAGGAAAGAAAATGTGGGGGGTAGGGTAGGGGGTGGTAGGGTTCGCATGTTGTGGCCCCATATCGGAGGAAGCCCCTGAGGATCCCCGCGGCGCCTCCCCTCGAGGAGGTGGAAGGAGGACGAGTGAGGAGGAGGAAGGAGGAAGGAAGAGGAGGGAGGAAGAGGGGAGGAGGGGGAGAGGAGGGAAAGGGAAAGGAGGAAGGGAGGGGAGGGGGAGGGGGGAAGGGAGGAGGAGGAGGAGGGGAGGGGAGGAAGGGGAGGGAAGGGGGAGGAGGAGGGAGGAGGAGGAGGGGAGGAGGAAAGGAGGGGAAGGAGAGGGAGGAGGGAGGGAGGAGGAGAAGGGGGGGGGAGGAGGAAGGAGGAGGAAGGAAGGTAGGAGGAGTGAGAGGAGGAGGAAGGAGGAGGAGGTATAGGAAGGAGGAGGAGGATAGGAGGATAGGAAGGATCGAGGACGTGGACGAAGGAGGGCAAGGAGCAAGGAGGGTCGAGGAGGAGTGAGGGATGTGAGAGGGGGGGGAAGGAAGTAGTAGTAGTAGGGAGAATCGAGGGGAGGTGTAGGAGGGGAGGAAGGAGGAGGAGAATCGGAGGAGGAGGAGGAGGAGGAGGAGGAGGAGGAGGAGGAGGAGGAGGAGGAGGAGGAGGAGGAGGAGGAGGAGAAGGAGGGAGCCCCGAGATCTGGGCGGTGCAGCTTCCCCCCCCTGGTCCGGGGAGTGATCAGCGGTGATTGCATAGTCGGAGGTCAGGGAGGTCCTGTGCAGCCCGGAGGCGACCTCGCGACGCTGGGTGCCCTCTCAGCGGCGAGGCCGCCTCCGGCAGCAACTGAAGTCCATAGAATGATAGGATTTCTGGCATGTTTTCATTGCATGCTGGTCCTCCCCCCCTCTTCCACCTCCTCCTCCTCCTCCTCCTCCTCCTCCTCTATCCTCTCTCCTCCTCCTCCTTTCCTCCCCATCTCCTCCTCCTCCTCCTCCTCTCGGGATCTTCGTCCAAACCGACCTGGCGCCGGTCTTTGTATTCTGGCCTCCCCCGCGTCTCGACGTCTTGTTCTGTCCCCCCGTTCCTCCCTCTCATCACCGGCGACCTCAATTGCGGCAGGAACCATGAGTGTCCTTGCCAGCCTACGCGTCCTTCAGAATGCTTGGCCGTCTTACTCCTTTCTGCATATTCGGAATATGATTCTCCTCTCTCTTCGGACTCTGTGCAGGAGATGTTCGGATCTCTCTTCGTGCTCTGGTTACTTAGGATTTTTTTTTGTTTGTTTGAATTCTTTCCCATCCGGTTGTTTTCGGTGTTTCAAAATGGTTCTCTCGCTGCAGCGTGCGCCTCATTTTTGGATCGGCGCCGTGCTCCCGTCGTTCAGAACGGCACTTTCGCCCCAATGCGGGCCACTTTCGAGTCCTTTCATCGTTGTCGCTCCCCTCAATTCCCTCCTTCTTCCCCTGGTCCTCCTGCTCATCCCGCTCCTTCCGCTCCAGTTCCTGTTGCTGCCGTTCGTCCTCGTCCTCCTTCCTACTCCTCCTCGTTGTCATCCCGCTCATCCTACTCTTGTGTTGATGCCCAAAAAATCCTCCCGCTCATCCTCCTGCTCACCCGCCACCTCCTTCTCCTCCCCCTCCTCCTCCTCCTCCTCCTCCTCGATTCTCCTCCTCCTCCTCCTCCTCCTCCTCCTCCTCGATCCTCCTCCTCCTCCTCCTCCTCCTCCTCCTCCTCCTCCTCCTCCTCCTCCTATGTACGCATCTATGTTATTTGATTAACCTAATTAGCACGATAGGGGTCTTTTTAAACTTCCTCGTCGGCTATGACACCCGTCCGCGCATAGATAAATCAGCGCGAGCGCACCCAGGTTGTCCTCCACCCCTTTAAGCACCTGCCCTCTTCCACCCCCTCCTCCTCCTCCTCCTCCTCCTCATTCTCCTCCTCGGTCTCCTCCTCCTTCTCTCCCTCTCCCTCTCCCTCTTCCTCTCCCTCCCCCTCTTCCTCTCCCACTCCCCTCCCCATGCCTCCCGCTTCTCCCTCCTTCCCCCTACTTGCCTCTCCCTCTCCTCGCCCGTGCTCCCCCCTGTTCTCCTCCGCTCTCCGTCCTCCCTTCCCCCCTCTCCACTCCTTGGCAGCTCCGCGAGCTCCCCCCCGAGGGACTGCTCCACAGCGGCCCGCCCGCAGACCTGGCAGCTTGGCCACTGATCCTTCCCCCCCCCCTCTCTCCCTCCCCCCTCGTCTCTAGGCTCCGTCGGACACCGACGCGTTCCCGTTCCCGCCGCTCCCGTCCCCCCTTCGGCCTCGCTCGCGGCGAGGAGGTGGAGAAGGCTCCGGTGCCGATAGAGCAGCAGACCACGGTGATGTTGCGGAACATCCCCAACAAGTATCCTTTCGGGAAGCTGTGGCAGTTGCAGGTCGAATGAGGAACAAATGCCGATACCGCTGCCATTCCTTCGTCACCACGGCTGGGTTCGCGTCGAAACTCTTGTCCGAATGCGCCCCAGGGGAGGTCCGTGGAGTCGCGGTATGGGTACCTTCCAGTTTCTCCAGCTGGAGGAGGAGGAGGAGGAGGAGGAGGAGGAGGAGAAGGAGGAGGAGGGGGATGATGAGGAGGAGGAGGAGCAGGAGCAGGAGCAGAAGGAACAGGAGGAGGAGGAGGAGGAGGAGGAGGAGGAGGAGGAGGAGGAGGAGGAGGAGGAGGAGGAGGAGGAGGACTGAGGAGGAGGAGGAGGAGGAGGACAGGGAGGGAGGGAGCGACGTTCGGGAGAGAGGGAGGTGTGGGAGGGAGGGGCGGGAGGGTTGGATGGACGGACGGATGGATGGAGGGAGGGACGGAGGAGGAGCTAGAGGAGGAAGGGGAGGAGGGAAGGGGGGCCCACCCCCGGGATCTCCGAGCAGTGCGTTCGGCGGTCGCCGTTTCTTCGTCAGAAGAACGAGGAAGATAGGGCCGCCTGGAGTGCGGCGCTGCGCTCGGACTCCAGAGCGTCGTCCTCGTCGTGCTTCTCATCGTCGTCGTCGTCGTCGTCGTTCTTTCCTACGGCTGGAGCCTGTGGACTGCGGCGTCCCCAGACATCCCTGACTCGAGCAGGTTCACTTGGAGCGTTCCATGGGCTGTCTCTGGGCCCGCCCCCCCTTGCTCTGGGGCCATCACGAAACGACCCGGGATGAAGCCACAGCTAGCAGGAGCCGGCAGCTCGAAAACGTGAGTCGTCGGAGAACTTGGTCCACAGTTGAGAGCCACTGTGGAGTCCCGCGTCTTCCCGCGCCGCTTGCCTCCGAAACGGGCCCTGGACCCGGGGGCCCTCCTCCTCCTCCTCCTCCTCCTCCTCCTCCTCCTCTTCCTCCTCATCTTCCTCCTCCTCCTCCTCCCTCCCTCCCTCCCTCCTCCTCCTCCTCCTCCTCCCTCCTCCTCCTCCTCCTCCTCCTCCTCGCCTTCGTGGATGGTGCAGGGAAGCAGGCGCAGCACATGGAGCACGCTGGTGCTCTGCTGCTGTGGCGCCTCCTGTGGCGCCGCTGTTGCCGCGCCTCCTCCCAGCATGGGGCAGGTACACGCAGGCGATGCTCCTGAGCCTCCTGTCCGACCATGGTTTCGGGGTGCCGCCTCTGAGCCTGCCTGCCTACTTCTTCTTTTTCTTGTTCTTCTTATTCTTCTTCTCGCTGCGACGGACATCATGCGGCGTGGATCCCCCGCACTCTTGCGAATGCGAGTGTGTGTATCCTCCCATGTTCAAATCTCGCTGCGCTGCCTTGTTTCTGAATGATGGTTGATTTCTAGTTATTTGGTGTTGCTAGTTGCTGTGGCTTTGGACTGCGTCTGTTGCATGAAAGATATTCTACTTTACACTGATTCCGCTTTTGGATCAGACGGGCATTCGCTTCCGCTTTGGAATCCATTGGTTGTGTTCGATCTCGTCCCAATAAGGATGCCACGCAGTAGACAACGACGGAGCCTGTCTGTTTTCATGATTCTTGTTTGTCAGGGTGGCTATCATAGACTTTGCGCTCGATCTTTTTGAAATCGTGCATTTTTCGGAAGTTGTGGGGCAACCGACGAGCGGACGACGCTGCGGGGGTACCGGCCAAGGACAAAGCTAGGAATGCGAGTCGCGAGCATCGCGATGAGTTGGTTCGTCGCCTGTTGTTGCGAACGCGCCTACGTATCTTCTGTCCTATTTTTTACGCAAGAACACATAGTCGTCTTCTTCCGTCCTGCCCCCTCTGACAGCTGCGATATTCAGCTCGTGCCGCACTCCGAGAGCGCTGTTCAGTTTGAGCGTATTTCACATCGCAGCCGGTGTGAACCTTTCGTCCTATGCCTTCGTTTAGAGTTTGAACCTCGCTGCGGGGCCGTAAGTGGAATGCCGTTCAATCTCTCCCGTTCTCTCATTTTTTTTTTTTTTTTTTTTTCTCTCTCTCTCTCTCTCTCTCCTTCTCTCTTTCTATAAATATATATATATATATATACATATGTAAGCTGTTGTGCGCGGGGAGGGCATCATACCCTTGACATATCTTATCATCGCGATTCATAGCTTGGGTTATGTGGAATTTGCTGCCATTACGCCTCCTCAAATTCGAAGTCTCCAAAGTAGTTCAATTTCTGAAATCGCCGATGCCAAATTCGCAGAGGACTGAAGCTCGGCTCTGGCTAAAGGCTTGTCCGAAATTGAGGGACGAACTAGAGGCGAGGCTTCCTAGCTTGTGGCGGCGTCTCGTGACTTGTCCATGTCCATGTTTATCCCCGTTTTCTCATCACTTCTGGTCCCCTTCTCTTATCTTCATCGCTCTTTTTTTCCTTCTGCCCCTCTTTCCTCCTTCTCGTCCTCCTTGTTGCTTCTCTTTATTCCTGATGCATCTTGCTGCTCATCTTTCCCTTGTGCGCAGAAGAGCTTTGACTTCGTGTATCTCCCGATGGACTTCCGCAACGGTGGGCGGGCGTGGCGGTGACCGAGAGGGGAAGAGGATGAGGGTAAGGTTGAGAGAACTGCATGGTGGAGGAGCCGGATGAGCGAGATCAGAAGGGGAGGAGGAGGATGAGGAGAGAGGTGAAGGAGGAGGAGGAGGAGGAGGAGGAGGAGGAGAGGTAGACTGGGGGAAGGCAGGAGGGGAGGGGGGTGGGAAGGCAGGATGGTCAGCTAGGGGAGGGGAAGGCGGGGGAAAGGAGGAGGGAGTAGGGAAGGAGAGGGGGAGGGGGGAGGGGAGGACAAGGAGGAAGGAAGAGGGAGGTGAGCGGAGGAGAGGTAGGAGAGGCAGAGGCCAGGACAGGGGAAAGAGGGAGGGGAGGAGGAGGATGAGGAGAGAGGTGAAGGAGGAGGAGGAGGAGGAGGAGGAGGAGGAGAAGGAGGAGGAGGAGGAGGACAGGGAGGAGAAGGAAGGGGAGGAGGATACATCGTGGGACGCGAATGACGACAAGACGAGGACGAGCAAACAGTACAGAGTGCCCTTTGCGCGTCTCGCCACCGTGCCTGCCTGGGTCGTGGACAGGAGGCTTTTCGAGAGGTCCCTCGGGGGCCGCTGAAGGCTCCTCTGCCCTGGCACGCGCGGGCTACCTCGGGATCCGAGCTGACGTCTGCCCATGCTGTTTGGTGGAGTTTCTGCGACGCCATCACTTTGCAGTTGTCGGTCGACGCCACCCCCGGGGGCCCTCGAGGAGGATCCAGGAGGAGGAGGAGAAGGAGGAGGAGGAGGAGGATCGAGGAGGAGGAGGAGGAGGAGGATCGAGGAGGAGGATCGAGGAGGAGGAGGAGGAGGATCGAGGATGTGCAGTGGCGCTCACAGGACCGCCTTCCGCCCAAGATGGCTGCGCCCGCCGTGCCCCCAGCTCGGGCAAGGAGAAGGTGGCCGGGGCCGGGCCGCCAGGCCACAGCAGCCGAGCAAGTCGTGGCGGGGGGGGGCAGCGAGGGCTGCAGAAGAGGGCACCAACTATACACCAACACTGATCCTGGCCCAGGATCACCCTGGGCCCATGATCGGTGTATATGCCTTCTTGCCCAAGGCAGGAGGGCGTATACACCGATCCTGGGCCCAGGGTGATTCTGGCCAGGATCGGTGTTGGTGTATAGTTGGTGCCTTCCTAGAAGAGGGGCCCGTTGGGGCCCCTGCAGGGCCCCTGAAGGGCCCCAGAAGGTGTCGGAGGTGGACAGATACCCCCACCCTGACACGTGGATTGGTGAATTCTTTACGCTTCGCGTATCCCCACCAGCCCATCTCAAAGCAGCAACTCTTGCGAAGCATGCCGACAGTCGTGTTTTTCAGGCGTGTTTCCGCCTGCCCCCGCATATCTCCCCTGTTCCTCCTTCCTCCCGCCTCCTTGTACATCCTCCTTGTGGTGGGAGCGGGAGAAGGACGAGGCGGAGGAGGAGGGAGAGAAAGCGCTCCTCGTGGTTTGAGTCGTTTGGGCCCTTCTTCCTGGTGTGAATCGTTCGGGCTCTTCGTGATGTGAGTCGTTCGGGCTCTTCGTCCTGGTGTGAGTCGTTCGGGCTTCTCGTGGTGTGAGTTGTTCGGGCCCCTCGTCGTCGTGTGAGTCGTTTGGGCCCCTCCTCCTGGTGTGACTCGTTCGGGCTCCTCGTGGTGTGAGTCGTTCGGGGCCCTCGTCGTGGTGTGAGTCGTTTTGGGAGCCTCTTGGAGGCCTTTTGGGGCGTCTTCGGGGCCTCTTGGCGGCCCCAGGGGCTTCTAGGAGCGTGGGGGGGGCCTTGGGGGAGCCTCTTGGGGCCTCTTGGGAGCCTCTTGGAGGCGGTTTGGGGCGTCTTGGGGGCCTCTTGGCGGCTCCAGGGGCTTCCAGGAGCGCCTCTTGGGGCCATCTTGGGGCCTCTTGGTGCCTCCTGGGCGCTTCTTGGGGCCATCTTGGAGGGAATGGATCAAAGAAGAGGGGAGCTTTAATGAGCGCTGCCCCCTTCAGAAGGGCAAAATGAGCCCAAAACCTTCGTAAAATCAATGATTTTGCCTTGCAGGAAGAGGGGAGCTTTCATGAGCGCTGCCCCCTCAGAAGGCCAAAATGGGGCCAAAACCGTAGTTAAATCAATGATTTTGGCTTCACAGAAGAGGAGAGGGTTTTTTCTCCCTCCCCCCGTCGGGGCCAGAATCCTCGTGAGGGGTGTCGTTTTTTAGCCCTCCCAGGAGTCGAAAATGACTCCCCTGACGACCCGCGGAGGGACCTCTCCAGGCCCAGGGGAGGGGGTAGGGGGAGGGGTAAACCCCTCCCCGAAGGGGAAGAAGGGGGGTTGAGAACAGAGCGGGCTCTCTAAACCACTCACGCCCAAAGGGCTGGTGGGATTGTCCGTTTTCGGTTCTCGAGAGGGCGCCGTGGCCGTCATTTTCCAGGCCTGCGCCCGCCAGGTTTGTGGGCCCGAGGTCGTTTTCACTGAACCACGTTGTACCAAAGGGGGTTCTGTCCATCCCCGAAAGGGGCCTTCAGGGTCCGAAGAGAGGGCTCCTTTCTTCCCCCCCATTCATCGCTCCATTAATCTGCGCTCAAGGGGGGACAGCATCCTCCTCCCTCTTGGCGCCTCCTCCTTTCATCGGAGGGCGAAGGAGCGCACAGCTCCACAGTCGGCGGCGAGCCAGGGGGGAGGTGAGATGGAGAAGGACCTCTCGGAAGGCGGCGGGACTTCTCAGAAGCCCTCTCGCCTTCTGAGAAGTGGTCTGCGTCTTCGGGGAAGGCTTAGACCGCCCCTTCTCACTTCCCCCCTGGGCTCGCCGCCGACACAGACTGCTGGCTGGCAGGCTGCGCAGAGGCCTTGCGCCACAGCCCCGTCACGGGGTACCGGACAATAATGGAGATGTGTTGGGGTTGGTATCGCTCGACTACGCAGGCTTCGCTGGGAGGGGAAGAGAGTGGATAACGAAAGACAATTTCGATGACCACTCGGGGGAGGGAGGGAGGGAGGGAGGGAGGGGGGGAGGAAGATGGCGAGGAGGGCGACGACGGCGGATTCCAAACGTTCAGGGGCACGCTCGCGCAGCCCCGAGGCCCACGCTGGGCTTATTGAAGGGCGAAAGGCTGCTGGAGGAGGAGGAGGAGGAGGAGGAGGAGGAGGAGGAGGAGGAGGAGGAGGAGGAGGGGACCTACCTACGCTGGCGTGGCCGAAGAGCCAGGGGGCAGGCGTGAACCTGGGATACGCGTTCGTCAACGTGGCCACGCGCGAGGACGATTGTCGCAGCTCGCCATTTCCGCCGCCGCCAGGCCTAGGCTCCTATCACCGACGCCCAGCGGAATACCCTGAAGTCGAAGAGGAGAAGGAGGAGGAGGCGGAGGAGGAGAAGAATGAGGAGGAGTAGGAGGAGTAGGAGGAGGAGGATCAGGAGGAGGAGGAGGACGAGGAGGAGGACGAGGAAGAGGACGGTCTGGAATTCCAATTTGTTTTTGCGGTTCCCGTCTTTACTTATTCGGTGGGGGAGTGTCTGTGTGAATATATAGTTACACATGTGTGTATATATACAGATGTTCAATTCGCGTCCTCGTTTTGAATCAGACTCGGGAGGCTCCTATTTCGCCTTCCTTTCTCCCAGCACCTCCCTGTGCAGCTGCCGCCATCTTGCCGCGGCTTTGGAGGTCTAGCGGAGTGAAAGGTCACGTAGATGAAGGTCCCAACCTCCCCCTCCCTGGGCGCTGCCGGACGAGAAACCGTCGCAATTTTGCTGTGCCCTAGGGGTCTCTGGCAGCTCCAACCAGGACCTGCTCGCCAACGCGTTTCTTCCTCCTCCGCCTCCCGTCCACTCCTCGTCCTCTTTCTCTTTGTCCTCGCCTTCCTCCACCTCCTACTCGTACTCTGTTCTGTGCTCTGAGTCTTCAGGCTGTCCACAAGAGTGCTGCACGCTGACATGCCATAGCTTTCAGCCCCCAGAGTCGTTCGGAGCATCAGCTGCATACGTACCTCGTGGCTTTGCGATATCGTCACCCGTGTCGCATGGGATGGGCACGTGCACAATTGATTTTAACATGTAAGGATCTTAGCCTCTGGGAATTTTTTCTTGTCCCAGGAGCGTCAGCCAGTCGATCTGGGACGAGCAGAAAAACCTCCCGGGAATGGGGGCGAGAACTTGAGAAATTCAGGGCCCGCGGATGGCACGCATCGAAGCGTCGGAGTTCTCGGGACGAGGGGCTGTGGGTTGAGCACGCCGCGGCCTGTCTTGGCCGCCAGCCACGCGAGTTGCCCCAACACCTCGAGATGCAGCACCGGCGTCAGTGCGTCTACGCGCAGTGCCACTACTGCGTGCGCGGCGCCGCCGTGGATGACTGCGCCGCGCTAGAGGAGGAGGTGGAGGAGGAGGTGGAGGCGGAGGACGAACGAGGAACACATGTGGAGCTGCACCTCGACCCGGAGGGCGCGAAGCATCCTTGAGCTTCAACGAGGAAGCGTCCAGCAATTATGTTGCTGGCGATCTTGGACAGCCGTGTTTAACGTGTGCATCCCCGTCAAGACCGCGGTCATCAAGCGCGACGCCTACCTCTTGACCGAGGAAGAGGTGTCCAGGCTGTCCAGAGAGGTGTCCGCAACCATCTTCGAAGAGCTCACCATCAGTGTCCAGTACACATGCTTCGAACGGCGACCGCTCAAGGGCGTCGGAACCGTCATGGACTCCAGACGCGTCTTCAAATGGAACCGCCGGAAGGGTCCCGACGGCTAGACCGCACCTGTCATCCGACGCCGCATGGCGTTCAGAGGTTTCCGCGGCATGGGCGTTGGTGGGGGCAACCAGACGCGCCTCGCAGCGCATGCTGTCCTCGGAGGCGGCGCGCCGCCCGGGCCAGATCTACGTCGCCGTGGACGTCGAGAAGGCTTTCCTGTGGGGCATGACGTATGTCGAGATGCAGGAACGCGGTGAGGCACCACGCGAGGTGAACTTCACCCTGCCGTTTGGCAGTGCAGCTATTCTCAGGCAGGTGCCCGACAGCGAGTCGTTTGACGAGAGTGCCGAGCGCCTGCGCTACATCGAGCTGGGCGCGGGTTGCAAGGACGCACCCCGAGCATTCTCTATGAAACTCGCCCGGGTCATGTGCTCACCGCAGTGCGGCGTCAAAAGTGTGCGGGGGGGGTCGGAGTTCGAGGTCAAGCATGGGGCGTCCAGCAATCGTGTTGCTGGCGAGAAGATCGCTGGACAGAAGGAGCGCGTCGACAAACTCATCGGCCACGTCGAGAGCGTCTTCGGCAAGATGAAGGATGACAGCGACGATTTCACCAACTGCGGTGTCCGCTTGCACCGAAGCGCCGACGGCGCCGTGGCGCTCGACCAGGACGAGTGCATCGACGCCCTGATATTGACCAGGTACGTCGACCCGGTCATGGCGAAGGCCGACGAGCCCTCGGGAGGTCAACCACCCGACTTCTTCGTCTCTTTTCTGGGAGCAGCTGCCTGCGCCCTGCTTGCCCAGCGCCGCGTCGTAGTGCGCATTGAGGCGCTGCGGCGGGCCACGAAGAAGCTTCTTCTACGACGCGCTATATGCAGCTCAATTCTGTGTCCCTCGCAACGCAGAAGACTTTCCCATTGTGGAGCGCGCTGTCCAGATCTGCGCGCCCAGCGACGGGCCCTTCAAACGGGAGGAGGGAGACGGGTCAAGGCATGGGGGCGCCGTCTACATGCGCCTTCGCAAGCGCCGCAGCGCCGGCAAGGAGGTCTGCCGCCTGCTCGATGCCGTGAGCCGCTCGCGCAAATTTGTGCGTGGGTCCTCGCTCGGCTTCGAGCTGTTCGCAAAGCGCGGCGCAGCTGATGGTTCGCGGGGTTGGCCCGTCGCGCTCCGCGAGATGATCGGGGGCCCGGTCCAGGCTGAGGAGATCTGGGATCTGAGAGGGGAGGGGGGCTATGCCATGCGGGCAACCCTGGTCGTGGGCGGGATGCCCGTCTCCGTTGCCATCGCCGTGGGTCCTGCGCGCCCGGCGTCGGGGCGCAGCGCGGCAGGCCGCCTATGGTGTTTCTCCGACCAGCTCCGTGCCGAGCAGATCGCTGAAATGCTTTGGTGCGATTCTCGTGATGTGAGGGCCGACCCCGTGACGCGAGGGGGGGCGTCGAGAACTGATCTTGGGCGTGATGTGCGGGATGCTCGAGCACGGCTGGCCGCGGTCAGACTAAGTGGCGGGGGGCGCGAGGAAACCGCGCCCAGCCCCCGCCGCGGCCACCTCGGGACGGACGAGGAGAACGTTCCACCGACGGGATAAACAACGAGAAGATTCGCTGCGTGGACTTGGGCTGCAGAACGTGACGCTCGCAGTCTCCGCGAAAGTCTGGGCGTCCAGACCGCTGCCCCCTGTCGGCCATGTCTTGCTCGAGGAAGAAGACATTGGCGGTCGCGCGCCGCGAACTGTGGTCGCGAATGCGACGTCGAGGGAGACGGGGGCAGCCGTGTGTCGCGAGCCATGTTGGCGAATGCGACGCAGCAGCAGGACATATGGGAGAACGCCCGCGTAAGGCGAAATGTGTTCGCGAATGCGAATTGGCGAGTCATGCAATTGAAGGGCAATTGCCACGAACTGTGTCCGTGGAGCAGCGGGCCTTTCGGCGCGTGACTCTTTAATCACCTTGCTGTGCTCCTCCCGTTGTCTGCTGTCCGCGTCCCCCTTGCAGTTTTTATGAGGGGCCTGGTAAGTATGAGGTCCTTTTTCGACCTTGCCTCCCGTTGCGTGTTCTGTCGTGGGATACGTCAGTCTGCTTCGGCTTGCTCCAGGAACTTTGCCTGGAATAGCTGCCGTCCCGCCTCGCGTGATGTGAAGGCTTTTTGCGGACGGCGCGAAGTCTGGCAACTCCCAGGGCGTGTCGAATTCAGGCTCATTTATCTTGTCGCGCCTGTTTAGGTTATATCGTTGGTACGTGGTCGGGTTGGTTTACACCTGGGCTGCGCAAGAGATTCGCTTGACCGCCGCCAGACTCGAAAGGTGCCTCTGTCTACTGTGCCTGCATTTCCTGCCTTGTTGCCGAAGCTAGCATTCATCCCATTGAGAGGGGTCGCAGTTGTCGGGCGTTCCGCCGCCGTTTTTGGCTCGGGGGCACGTTGTCGGGCCGAACGACGTGCCCGTGTTAGACTCGAGTTTTACAGTGTTACTCGCCGCAGCGAACAAAGCGTCCGTTTTCGTAGTTTCCCTCGTCCCCCTCCTCCTCCTCCTTCCTCCTCCTCCTCTTCCTCCTCCTCCTCCTCCTCCTCCTCCTCCTCCTCCTCTTGCGAAGGCCTGACGGCCGGTGCCGCCGACCCTGAGGTCGGGGGGGAGGGCGCGGAACATGGGGAAGAAAATGAGGAGGGGGACAGGAAGATTATCACCACCTACCAATCCACCCCAACCCAACCCGAAGGCCTCAATTTGCCCTCCATTTCCACTGGGGGGGGGTCGGGGAACGTTGAAATTATCCCGGCAAAGCAACCTAACAGCGATGTGTGTAAGCATCTCTGGAAGCATTCCCCTTAATATTCAGGTGATAATCCAGTTGTAGAGTTCTGTTGTTCTCGCAGTCGCAGTCGCATTCGCAATGACAGTCGCAGTGGCAACGGCCTTAGGATCCAATGGAATCCTAAGGATTCCTTGGGATTCCTAAGGCATCCTTAGGCATCCATAAGAATCATCAAGAAACCTTGCGAATCGTTAGGAATCCTGATTCCTAGGGATTCTCAGGGATTCCTAAGGATTCCAGAGGAGTCCTAAGGATTCAAAAGGATTCCTGAGGTTGCTTACCTCTGCCTACGGATTCCTAAGGGTGCCTACGGATTCCTAAGGATTCCTAGGGATTCCTATGTATTCCTACGGATGCCTCAGCCTGCCTCAGTTTCAGCCTCAGCCTCAGCCTGCCTTTGCTTGCCTCAGCCTCAGCCTTAGCCTGCCTCGGCCTCAGCCTCAGCCTCAGCCTGCCTCAGCCTCAGCCTCAGCCTGCCTCAGCCGCAGCCTGCATCAGCCTCAGCCTCAGCCTGCCTCAGCCGCAGCTTGCCTCAGCCTCAGCCGCAGCCTCAGCCTCAGCCTCAGCCTCAGCCTGCCTCAGCCTCAGCCTCAGCCTCAGCCTCAGCCTGCCTCGGCTTGCCTCAGCCTCATCTCAGCTGCCTCGGCCTCAGCCTCAGCCTCAGCCTGCCTGAGCCTCAGCGTCAGCCTCTCAGCCTCAGCCTGCCTCCGGAACCTCATCCTCAGGCCGTCCGCGTTCCGCCTCGCCTCAGCCTGCCTTAGCCTCAGCCT